GCTGAACCCGGCAGCTGTGCGTGCTGCGGGGTCCCAGGGAAACCAGTAAAGAGGACATCTTCCCCCTCACCTGCTGCTTTCCAGATGGGTGCTTTTATCCTTGCCTGAACAAAGAGAGGTGATGTTATTGAGCAGAAAATCAGAAGTATTTTTTCTAAATAAATATCGCATAGCAGCCTGGAGAGAGACTCTAGCCTCAAACAGGAAAGGTGCAGAGAAGCCCCACGGGTGACCGACTTAAAGTCTCTCGTGCCCTTGGCACAGCTGGGCCGTGCAGGCAGCGAGAAGCTCCCCTGGGCCAGCCCCAGCTGGGAGCCGCTGTGGTAGACCCCAGCCTGCCCGTGCCCACGGGGGCAAGCCCGTGTCTGTGGGCGTGAGCGTGCACTCTCTGTGCGTCTGCGTTCCCTCTCTCTGGGTTGAACGTGACATCCCGGCTCTGAGCTCCCGTGTTTGCCCTTCTCACGCAGCAAAGTGTTCTTCACCGACTACGGGCAGATCCCCAAGGTGGAGCGCTGCGACATGGACGGGCAGAACCGCACCAAGCTGGTGGACAGCAAGATCGTCTTCCCCCACGGCATCACCCTGGACTTGGTGAACCGGCTGGTGTACTGGGCTGACGCCTACCTGGACTACATTGAGGTGGTGGACTACGAAGGCAAGAACAGACATACCATCATCCAGGGCATCCTGGTGAGTGGGGCCAGAGGGAGGTCGGGGGGGCCTGATGGCAGAGTGTGCTAGAGGCAAGTCTGAGCTTGTCCTGCTGGGGTCACTGGTGCACAGGCTTGGCTTTGCTGGTCCAACAACTGGACCAGCAGCACCTGCCTGCCAAGCCCCATGTCGTGCCCTAAATGAGTCAGGGGCAAGAGCTGTAGGGCGGGATGATGGGCAGGGATCGGGGCTTTGCGCGCCTCGGAGCCAGGGTTCTCATCCTCCTCCTAAATTCCTTGTGGACGCCTGCACGGTACCTTCCAGATTGAACACCTCTACGGGCTAACCGTCTTCGAGAACTACCTCTACGCCACCAACTCTGACAACGCCAACGCCCAGCAGAAAACCAGCGTCATCCGGGTCAACCGCTTCAACAGCACCGAGTACCAGGTGGTGACGCGGGTGGACAAGGGAGGAGCACTGCACATCTACCACCAGCGGCGCCAGCCCACAGGTGGGACCCCGGCCTGGGAAGAGCAGCTTCTTGGATCCCAAAGGCTGGGCGGTGATGGGGACAGGCTGCACCTTCCAAATTCCCTCTCCTAACGGGACCAGGCACCCAGGACAGGTTCACTTGCCCAGGTCCGTTGGTAGCACCCTGTGGCCCCGAGGAGCTGTGCCTAGCCTGGGCCTGGCCCTGCCCAGCCTCCCCCAGCTCCCCCCCGTCCCCGTGTGCCTGGGCAGGGGGGCAGCAGTGGGAGCCTCACTGTGGGGAGTGGCAGCAGAGCAAGGGGTGCTGCCGGAGCCTGCCCAGGGGTGCCAAACGCCGGGCGAGCCGAAGTGTGCTGGCACAGGGACAGAGGAAGCAGCAGCCCGGCTGTGCTCCGCAGGGACTCCCGGAGCTGCCGTCCTGCTGACAGCACTCCTTGGCCAGGCGCTCGGGTGGGATTCCTGCTCCCCAGGCAGCCGCAGGCTGGCCTCTCGCTGGGCTGCTGCATGCCCTGGGGTGCTGCTGGTCCGCGCTATCTCTCCGTCTCCTCCTGCAAGAGACATGGCAGCCGTCCCCGTGAGCCAGGCAGCTGTGCCACGTGGTTGATCGATCACATCTCGCTGGAGAGCACAGGGACATTGGAGCAGATGCAGCATCGTGAAATATTAATGGCTCCCTTTTGTGGTGCCTTCATGCTCTCAGTCCCCACTGCTGGTGTGTTCACCCTTCAGCTGGGGCCACGTGCTCCCAGGCAGCAAGGGATTTGAAGGGAGTTGAAAGGCTTCGGAGCTCCAGGCACCGTGCGCTCCCTGCACCCCTCCCTGTCTGCCTGCTCCACCCCTAGCACCTTCCTGCAATTAATCAATTTACTCATTTAAAATCCTTTTAGCGTCTGCAGGCTGCTTGGCATTTGCCAGAATATAAAACTAATCAGATTTCTGAGCGGTGAAGGAGTGTGGTTAAGGGGGCTCTCTGGGCTGGTGCTGTCCGTCCCCACTCAGGGGCTCATCCTGCCCACGTTGTCTGCAGAGCAGCCGGGCAGCCCCGCTCTTGCCATGGCCCATGAGGGGCGGGCTGGCAGGATGGAGGCAGCGTGGCCCAGTGCCTGTGGCGCTGTGCTGGGACACACCATGCTGGTTTGTGCTCCACCATGATCCTTCCTCTTGGGCAGGTCCTTTCCCATCCATGCGTTGTCTGTCCCGTGCAATACTCAGCCCCTGGCTGAGAGGGGGGGCCCCCCCTAAAGCCCAGAGAACCATCGTTGGGCTGGCAGCACCCATAATCTCTGCATCCCTGCGGTTGCAGAGTAGCGTCCCCTTCACAGCCAGCGTGGACCTGCAGCTGGGCAGGTCATCTCTGTGCGGCTCTGGTTGCCGCTGGCTGCTGGAGCCCGTGCTCTGTGTTGCAGTGAGGAGCCACGCCTGTGAGCCCGGTCCGTTTGGCAAGCCGGGAGGCTGCTCGGATATCTGCCTTCTCGGGAACAGCCACAAGACCCGAACCTGCCGGTGCCGCTCCGGGTTCAGCCTGGGCAGCGACGGGAAGTCCTGCAAAAGTGAGTCCTGGCCCTCCCTGGAGAGCTGCGGGAGGGGGCAAGGGGGCTGGCGGCTACCCCTCTCAGCCAGGGACCCAGGTGGGCAGAGGCGCTTGTGCCAGGCGATTGGGGGCACAGAGCTTTTCAGTTCCTTCCCTCCCAGTTGCAAACACCCCTTTCTTCCCTTGCCTGAGCCGTGGGCTGCCTGCTGGGCTCTGCGGTCCCTGCAGACCTGCTGGGTGTAGAGGCAGGTCGCTGCCTTCTCCTGGCCTCTGTGTCGTAGCTGTGACCCCACGAAAGCCCTAGTGCCACGTGCATCGGGCTGCCCGCGCCCAGTGCCACCCTGGCCTGGCTGGTGGCGATAGCTCTCCCCATCTCCCTGCAGAGCCTGAGCATGAGCTGTTCCTGGTGTACGGGAAGGGGCGTCCAGGCATCATCCGCGGCATGGACATGGGGGCCAAGGTGCCGGACGAGCACATGATCCCCATCGAGAACCTCATGAACCCCCGAGCGCTGGACTTCCACGCTGAGACCGGCTTCATCTACTTTGCTGACACCACCAGCTACCTCATCGGGCGCCAGAAGATTGACGGCACGGAGCGAGAGACCATCCTGAAGGACGGTGCGTGGCCGAGAGGCCCAGCCTGGTCCCTGCCCAGTGCAGCCAGCCCCTGGGAGCCGGCAGCAATGGCCGTCAGTGCATTTTCTTGTGTAATGGCAGCGCTTCTGTCCTCTCCCCTGCGTCTTTGAGCCTTAAAACTGAGGCTTGAAGCTGCTGTTTGTGTTTCTCTGTAGACTGCTATTGAGAGATAGGTACAGAGCACGTGCCCCAGCAGAGGTGGGAGAGGGACCCCTGTCCCTGGATGTCTCCCCCCTGCCCGAGCTCGCCCACCTCCATCAGATGGGAGGAGGAGGGAGGGATGGGGGATCCTCAGGGTCCCTGGGGCTCAGAGCGGTGGCTGATCCATCCCCACACTGCCAGCCGAGTACGTTGGTGTTGCCTCCGGGCGAACCAGCCAAGGACACTCCTGGATTTGGCTTTTTCCAGCCCATGCTCCCTGTGGCTGTGGTACCTCTGGGGGAGGTGCCTGTTCTGGGGCTCGGGGGGTCCATCGTCCCTGTCGGTTTGAGTTGGGATCGGGTGGTGCTGAATGCACCGTGAATCATATGGGGCTGTCGCTTCCACTTCTCGTCTTCCTGCTGCCGCGCAGCCCTGGTGATGAGCACCCGCTCCTGCTTTTCCCCAAAGGCATCCACAACGTGGAAGGGATCGCTGTGGACTGGATGGGGAACAACCTGTACTGGACGGATGACGGCCCCAAAAAGACCATCAGCGTGGCTCGGCTGGAGAAGGCTGCCCAGACGCGGAAGACACTGATCGAGGGGAAGATGACCCACCCCCGAGCGATCGTGGTGGACCCCCTGAACGGGTGCGGGTGCCTGGGGGGGCAGGGCTGGCTCGCAGGAGGGCACGGCCGCTCCTGCCCGCAGCAGGGACCAGCA